CTTCTCAGGAGACGGGACCTGGCTGTCTGCTCCCATAAGAATTATGACTGTTGTTGTTGTTGTTGTTGTTAGGTGCTGCCGAATCGGCTCTGACTCAGCGACCCTGTGTACGACAGAAGGAAACACCGCCCAGTCCAGCGTCATCCTCACAACCTCACAACCGCTCGTACGTTGCAGCCTCTGTCAGTCCATCTTGCCGACTCAGCAGCGTCATCCTTTACAAGCATGACCTCCTTTTCCAGAGCCTGGTCTCTCCTGATAACATGTCCAAGGTATGTGAGGCAATGTATCCTTGTATCTGGCTCCTAAGGAGCATTCTGGCTGTACTCCCAAGACAGGTTTGTTTGTGTATTTTGGCAGTCCACGGTACCTTCAAATGCATGCGTTCTTCCGTCTAACCGAATCCATTATCCAAATTTCACATGGGTGTGAGATGATTGAAAACAAACATGGCTTGGTTCAGGTGCACCTTGGTCTTCAAAGGAACGTCCTTGCTTTTCAGCACTTTTTAGAGGTCTCGGGAGCCCCGGTGGCATAGTGTTTACTCATGGTTCAAAACCACCAGCCACTCCATGGTAGAAAGACAAGGCTTTCTACTCCTGTAAAGAGTTACAAAAGAGTTACAGTCTCTGAAACCCATAAGGGAAGTTCTACTCTGTCCTACGGGGTCGCTGTGAGTCAGAATGACTTGATGGCAGTGAGCTTGGGTTTTTAGCTTGTGACGAAGATTTACCCGATGTAATGCAGCAACTACTCTCTCGCCTACTGCCCCATGTGCATTGATTGTGGAGCCAAGCAAGAGGAAATTCTTGACGACCTCCATTTTTTCTCTGTTTATGCTGTTGTTACCTATTGGTTCAATTGTGAGGACTTTGGTTTTCTTTACATTGAGTTGTGATCCAGACTGAAGGCTGGAATCCTTGATTTTTGAAATACTCACCTTCAGCCAGCAAGGTTGTGTGCTCTGCATATTGCAGGTTGCTAATCAAGCTTCCACTGAGCCTGCCGCCACGTTCTTCATCTACTCCAGCTTCTCCGATTACTTGCTCAGCAGACAGACGGAATAAATAAATATGGTAAGAGGATACAACCTTGATACACACCTTTTAAAAACTTAAATCTTATCGTATTCCCTTGTTCTGTTCACACAATTGCTCTCTGATCCATGTACAGGTCCCTGTGAGCACAATGACATGTTCTGGAATTCCCATTCTTCTCAGGGCTGTCCGTCGTTCGTATGGTCCATGCAGTGGAATGCCTTTACATAATCAATGAAACACTAGTGAAGTGAACATCCGTCTGGTAGTCTCTGCTTTCGGCCAAGATCCATCTGCATCCACAATGATGTCTCTTGTCCCATGTCCTCTTCTGAATCTGGCTTGTGTTTCTAGCATCTCCCTGCCAATGGACTGCTGCACCCCTTGTTGGCTGATCTTCAGCAAAAAAGTTTACTTGTGTGTGATATGAAGGGTATAGTTTTATAGTCTCCGAATTCTGTTGGGTCACTTTTCTTTGGAATGGGTACAGATATGGATCTCTTCCAGTCAGTTGGCTAAGTAGCTGTCCTCCAAATTTCTTAGCATAGATGTGTGAGTGCTTCCAGTGCCTCATCAGCTTGTGGAAACATCTTAATCGGTGTGCCGTCAATTCCTGGAGCCTTGTTTTGGGTGGGGGGAGGGTAATGCTTTCAGTGCAGCTTGAATTTTTTTCCCTCGCTACCATTGATTCTTGCTTAGATCCTCCCTCTCCAAATGACTGAAGATTGACTAGTTCTTTTTGGTAAATTGACTGTAGTCCTTCCCCCCTTCCTCCACAGTTGGCCAGAGAGTCTTTCATTCGATATTGCGAACCAAGGATTGACTTTGTTCTTTAGTTCTTTCAGTTTACGATTCGTGAAAAGGACAGCCCTGGGACCCCTATGTGGCAGGTCTCCACTGTCACGGTGGCACACAGGAACCAACGGCAGGAGCATCTTCCGTGTGCTAGCTGCACCGTTGCAGTTCTCCTTGGTTCAGTGCCTCTCCTAAGTCTCTGCCCTTTTTCTGATTGGATCGATTGTCTTTTGTCGGTATGTTGTAGGAGTTTGTGTGCGTGCATAATATTTATCATGATTATGTCCTCTTGTTCAATTTACTCTTAAATATATCATATAATAGCCTGCGATGACTGTTACGGTGCTTGTTGCCTTAAAGTATTTTTAATAAGAAATTAATATTTCTAAAAAATTAATATTTCTATGCCGACTCTTTTTGTTTAGATTACTGTTAGTTTGGTACAATTTATTCATCCTTTGTCTTTAGTCTATTTTTATAATATTCGCATGAACAATGTGCCTCTATAGACGGTCGATTGATGGGCTCTGTTTTCTTATCCGTTATGCTGCTCTCTCTCTTGATGGGTGCATTGAGACCATTTACACTCAGTGTGACTATTAGAGTTATGAATTTATGCTGTCGTTTTGCTGCGCGTGGTTTTGTTTTTGACAGCATTGCTGGTTTCCTTGTTCCGTGTAATTTTCCAAGCTGAGTTCATTTTGTCTGTGGGTTTTCTTGTCATTTTCTTTGTTGCCATTGTTTTAGTGTTTGCAAAATCTTCACGATTTTCTGTTTATCTGCAAATGTCCCGATTTTACCCTCATACTTGAGGGCTAGCTTTTCGATAATTGTGGGTCGGCCACTTCTTTTTCTTTCCGCATTGGGCGTGCGTCATCTTGTTGCCTTCGTCCCTGCCTGGCTTCTGAGACATCGGAGCTTCGGCCCATGGCTTCTCCTTTCTGGAGAACATCTTCTTTCAGGGTTCTTTCCTTGTCTTTGGTTTGGAAAAAATAGATTATGACACATCTTGATGATTCTCTTTTAAGGTTTATCCTGTTTGGGGGCTCATTCAGCTTCTGGAATACACAGCTTCTCATCTTTCAAAATGTTAGGGAAGTTTTCTTCCAGCAAGTTCTTGATAATTTTCTCTGTGCCTTTTGTTTTTGGTTCTTGTTCTGGAATTCTGATTTTTAAAAAATGAGTTATTCCTCTTAAAGGCGTCCCACACAATCCTTACACTGTCTTCTTCTCTTTTATTTTTTATTCTTTTTTTTCTCTTCTGATTGTTCCTCTGATAGGTTAATCTTGAGTGATTTGTCTTCAAGGTCAATAATGCAGCCATCTATTGATTCAATTCTATTCCTTTGCTATTTTAATACACTATCTATTTTTGAAATCTTACTATTAATTTTCTGGAATTCTAGTTGATATTTTTCTATGGTTTCTATTTCGTAGTTTATTTTCTCAGTGTTTGCCTAAATTCTTTGTATATAATGTTCTGTGTTTTCCTTGATTTTGTCTGCAACCTTTTCAATCATTTTCTCAATACATTGATGGTACCAAAGTATCACTCTTCCGCAGAAATATGTTCTGGCTCTGTCTTTTGGTCATTCATTTGAATGACTCTATCTTTTTTATAATCATTTTATTGGGGGTTCATATAACTCTTATCACAATCCATACATCCATCCATTGTGGAATGACTATCTTATATATTCCTTGGAATTGAAAGTGTCTATTGTCTCTGAGCTATTGTAGTGTTGCTGTGTTTGTGTGTAATTGATGATTGTATGTTAGTGTCCTGAGGCACGCGTCACCTGTCTCCAGGTGGGCGTGATAGAGAATGTGACCCGGTGTGTAGTTCTCTCTTTGCTGTTTGTGTAACACAGTTGAGGCCTGATGTTGGCTGCTGCCTATTAATGATCAGATGGTATAGGAACAGGTAGTGGCCTTCGCCCACAAGTTGAGGCTGTAGGAGGTACAGGTGTGGCTGGGCATATGGTTGCTGACTTTCTCACCACTAGCCATCAGTGTGTACCGGCTGCTCTCGCAACTGAATTTCAAGACGGCCACACTGCCAGGCTAGCCAACAGTTCGGACCCTGTCTCCTCTCTCGCTGTTCTTGCTCAGCCTCCCCCCATCGGAACTCAATCTACTTCTCTAGACTTTCCTCTGAAGCTCAGGGTTCCAGGACTGTGAACTGAATCTGTTTCATTTGATCCCTCGTGTCTAGAAAGTCTGTGTAGCATGTCTGCCTAGTCCACCATCTTGCCAGAACTTCCTCATCCACAAACTTTTTGAAGTCCCTCATATATTCTGGATCGCAAACCTTTACCTCCCCTCCCTGAAATGTTCTCCCAATCCATGGGGGCTCCTCACTCTGTTGATTAAATATTCTTTGGTGACAAGTTTTTAGTTCTGATGAACTCCCATGAATTTGTCTGACCTTCTCTTATTTTTGTATTCTGTGTCACATCTAAAAATCCATTGTTGAAAACTAGGACCCAAAGCATTAGATTTTTGTTTTCTTCTAAGGGTTTTATGCTTTGGGTCCTTATATGTAGGTGTTTGATCCTTTGTGAGTGTGCTTTCATATGTGGTGTGAAGTATGGGCCCAGCCCCCCCCCCCCAACTACTCTTTCTCTATTGGATGACCTTAGCACTAGCTCCAAATCAAGTAACCTTAGACCCATGGGTCTATTTCTGGACTACCAATTTGATTCCATTGGTCATATATCTGTTGTTATAATTATGCCTTAATTTTAATGTGGGGGGGTGTTTAAAGAGTAATTTAAATCTTACTTTTAAAAGGAAAATTTTATTTTTTTATTTTTACATTTTTATTTAGGAATAAAAATGTAAAATTACTACAAGAGGTACTTATAGAAATGCATATTCCCTTGCCCCAGTCAAGGCCTAAATCTCCTGATGCAATAGGCCTGAGGATGAGCCCAGGAATCTGTCTTATCTAACAGACGTCTCCCTAAAAGAGGAACCTCAACTTGAGAGCCACCAGCTGTGCAGTCTGGCCAGGGTGCAGGCGGCCTCCAGCCAGCGAGGGGCGCTGTGCCAGCGGGGCCGGGGGCGGGGCCGAGGGCGGAGCGCGGGGCGGGGGCGGCTCCGGCTCCGGCTCCGGACTCCGGACTCCGGGCTCCGGGCTCCGGGCTCCCGGCTCCCAGCTCCGGGCTCCGGGTGCTGCACCTGCGACTCTCGCCATGGCCCCGTCCCGGCTGCAGCTCGGCCTCCGGGCCGCGTACTCCGGTGTCAGCTCTGTGGCCGGCTTCTCCATCTTCCTCGTCTGGACGGTCGTCTACAGACAGCCGGGGACCGCAGCCATGGGGGGGCTCGCAGGTACCCCTGGGGGCGCGCCGGGGGCGCGCGGTCCCGGGTCCGGGGCAGAGGCGGCGGCGGAGGGCGCTGCCTGCCGCTCCGGGAGGCGCTTCCCCGGGGAGCGGGCGGGGTGTTTACTGAAGCCGTCTGCGGGCAGGCGGCGCAGGCCCGGCCTGCTCCGGGGGCCTAGGGACCCGGGCGCGACCTGGGGGCGCCGACGCCCCACCTCTGCCGTTTGCACAAACCTCCCGCCGCCCGGTTATCTCGTCCCTGCACCCTTGCTCTCGGGTCCTCCTCCCAGTGCTCCCTCTACGGGCGTCTTCTCTGCACGCCGGCCCCCCTCGCGCTCCCCGCGCCTGGCGCCGGGAGAAGACCCCCCTACTCTTCCACCGTTCCGGGGAATTCTCGTCCTCCGTCCTCCGGCGCTCCTTCCCCCAGGGGCTGGGCGAGGGCTGAGGAAGGGACTAAATGTGGGAGCCCATCTGCTGCCTTCCAGTGGGCTCCCCCCAGCCCTCGCGGAGCCCCCCACGCAGACCAAGGGGACTGCACCCGGAATCAGACGGGAAGTGGAATCCTTCGCACCCGCATCGCGCTTTTCGCCACCCCTCTGCTGTGGCACCTCTTCCGCCCGGGGTCTGCAAAACTCTGCGGGCACCTCTTTTTGTGCAGCAGGGAGGCCACGGGGTGCTAGGAAGAGAGCAGCAGTGTGCCAACAGGGCCACCCGGGCTCTGGGCTTGGTGTGCACCATTTTGAGCAAGCCTTTGCCCCTCTCTGCCGAAGAATTGGTGTGAAGACAAATATTTTCACTTGCCAACATCGAGTTGGTTGGTGGTTTTGATGAGCCAGGCAAAGTCGAAGTGATTGTTTTCATTTGATGACAGGTGATGTTGTACCCATTTGACAGATGAGGAAACTGAGGTTGGGAGTAAAGCACTAATTTGGCCAAGATGGCACCGTGCCATGAAATATTGTTCGTGGAAAAAGCACTTTGGAGGGGAACCTGCATGAAAGGACTATACTTCTACACAGGATGATCTTACTCTGCTAGGAAGAACCTAAATGGACTTACTAAAAGTAACGAGATGCTCTCATTGCTACTTTGTTGACTGAGCTCTTTTTGAGTGGAGAAAAGATGCCAGGTTGGGGATCCTGCCTTATAAGAGGGTCATGTACCCACCACCATAGCCTAAGCTGAGCCAAGCTGAGCACTGTGGGCCACCAAGGAAGGCTAGGCCAGGGTTCTGGAGTGTTCCTGTACCCAGACCACCTGTGGGCTCCTACCCTTCTTGGGGAAGCCAGCCTATCTCTGCTCAGTTAGCTGCAGAGCCTGTACCTTCCCCCTCTGTACCCCTACCACCCACCATGTTCAAGGTTCAAGTCTTGCAACTTAAAGAAAAAATTCCCCCTCCCTCCCTGTTTCTAGTGGCTTTGCTAGGAGCCCTGGGTTAAACTTGGGCTGCTAACCACAGTCGGTGGTTCAAACCCACTCGCCAGTCAGTGGGAGAAAGATGAGACTGTCTGGTCCCCATAAAGATGTATATCCCTGGAGACCCTATGGAGCTGCCCTCCTGTGCCCTATAGTGTCGCTGAGTCAGAATCGTCGTGGGTGGCTTTATTGGCTGTGCTGCCTCCCCATTTGGAATGAGGTGTGTGCGGCCTGGCCTGGCTGCTGCCTAAGGCCTGAGATAGGGTGAAGGTTGTGGGTAGGATCAGAGCCAGGTGTGCCAGAGTCTGGTCTGGTGGTGGTGGTGGTGGAGGTGAGCCCTGCTTAGCTGTGTGAGCAGGTGCACATACCACGAGGCCTCGGTTTCCTCATCTGGAAGGAGTGGGCAGCGCTGCCACTAGCTGCGATGATCTGCCAGACAGACTCCAGCTCTGGTGTCTTGTCTGCGTTGTTCAGCTCCAGCTGCCTAGTAGCGGACCATGGAAAAGGCCCTTGGCCTTGAACTCCAGGGAGTCCTCTGGATGTTTCTTCTGACCCAGGGCCTGGCCCCTTGTCCTCTGTGGCTTCCCCCATCTTCCGAGACTGGCCAGCTGTGGTGTTGCCTGCAGGAAGAGGTGCTAGGCAGCTGTAGCTGGGACCCTGACACCTCTCTCTGACAGTTCTGACTGGTGACAACCAAGAGGTAGCCGGGGAAGTGCCAAAGCCTCTTGGCACAGGTAAGGGGTGGTGCCGGGTCAGGACCAAGCTCACTCCTCCTCACTCCGAGCGCCTTTTGAGAGGCTCTGTACCCAAGTTGTTAGCCTTCTTCCTCTTTGGGGGTGAAGTGTCAGCACATTTGCTGGCTGATGAGCACCCCACTTCTGACTTGGCATTTCCAGCCCAGAAACTGCTGAGTCACTGGAGGGCTGCCCCACGTGCTCCGTTCTCGGGCGGGGGCTCTGAGAGTGCTGGTTTCTGGGGGTATCAACCCCACAGCCCCTGGATCCGGTGGGAGAGTGTCGAGTGAGGATGCGCTCTCTGGCCCTGGTGGGTGCCTGGGAAGAAGTAGCTTCCAGGGAAAACAGCCATGAGAGAAAGGCCTCTGATTGGTGCCTCACTCCCACCTCCCCCATGTCCCCATGCCTGGCTTTGCTGTGGGAGCATGTGGGAGACACAGAGATGCTTCTCTTGCTGGCGCAGGACCGGTGCCCCAGCAAGAGGCCCTCTGAGGTGGGGGTTCAACTACATAGCAGGGCCCTGTCCCCTGGTTTGTGTTCTCCCTGTGGGCTCCCCGGGGCTTCTCTTCTTCTTACCTCCAGCCCAGCTGTTAGCTTGACAGCCGGGAGGCCCGGCCCATGGAGCGGGCTGGGAAGGCTGACGGCTGGGGTCTGCCCCAAGCATGTGGTAGGTGGGCTGGGAGATGGCCCATTCTGCCCTGCATCTAGAGGTTCCTGGGGAGCGCTGTCGAGGGGATCTTTGGTGGACGTGTGTGGAGCTGGTGGGAGCCAGGGTGGGGGTGGGGGGTACATGTTTAGGGAGGAGAGAGGGACTGGAGCAGGTGGGAGGGGCGGGGAGTGGGCATGTGGATGCTTCTTCTGGGTGCCCTTGGTGGTAGGGGTGGGTGGGTGTGTTGGGGGCATCGCTGGAGCATGGCTGTGGGTTCCAAGGGGCCGTTTTCACTGGCTCTTATTTCAGCAGTTTCCAACCCAAAGTGCTGAGTCATAGAGGCATGGCTCTGACCTCCTTTTCCTCCTGTGCTGGCTTCCAGAAGCTTCATCGGACCACGAGTGCGGGCCTACCCCTGACAGTTCCTGGAGGGTGCCTAGCACCCACCCACCCCCACCGCCACCTTGTGAAAAATCAGGCTGCATGTGAGCGGAAGGGGAAAGAATTCAGAGAAAGAACAGGAAACCCAGAGGGCAGATTTCAGTCTAGGCAGTGGGATTCTGCCCCCTGACCTACTTGTGTCCCACCCGGCAGGGCCCAAGAGATGCTTGTCCTCCCTCACCCTGACCCCTGGTGCAGGGACCCAGGCCCCTGAGAAAGGTGGGGGGAGGGCAAGTGGTGAGCTGCTGCCCCCACTGAGAGGACACAGTGGAATTGCTGAGCACCCAGGCTGGCGAGTCCATGGGTCCCCTCCGCAGTTATAAGTGAAGAAGCACTGGGGCTCTGGCAAGTGGCGAGCAGCCCCGGCCTGGGCCTCCTCTTGCTGTGTAGGCCGGCTATCTCTGTCACCAAGCCGCCCAGCAGTGCCCAGAGCTAGGAAACAGCACCTAGTTCCACAATATCAGGACCTCTATCTCCAGCCCCACGCTCACCCTCCCTGTTCATGACTGGAATGCAGGCGCCAGAGCAGCACCTTCCTGATGTCCGGGGTGCGTCCTCACCCCCACTAGGGTGTGTGGCTCATACCCGCTGGGGGCCTGCAGGCTGAGAGATTGCAGCTGGCTCTCACTTTTCCCCTGCCCTCCCCCCTGGGTCCCCCAGGGCCCTGCCCCAGACCCTTGCCAATGGGGCTGATATTTGTTTCACCCTTCGGGCTGGGGAAGCAGGCACCGCCTGGCACAGAGGGTACTCATTGTATTGGCTGAGTGGCAGCTGGCATCCTAGGGGAGGCATTTACCCCAGTCTAGAGACTGACCCAGGAACGGACTGGAGAGACCTCTGGCCCAGCCATAGCCCCCAACATAGATAGTATTATGGGGTGTGGCCCAAGGAGGTCACTTAGGTCCTGGGTGGCCCTGGGGTGTGCCTGTCCCAAAAGAATCAGGCAGGGTGTTTGGGATGGGCCCTGCCACTGGAGAGCAGGGCCACAGGCCTGGAGAAAGTAGCCCATGAGCTTCTGCCCCCGGGGGTGTCCAGGGTGGCAGGAGGGCTTCCCCATCCCCTCAGGGTTGGAGGTGTGGAGTCCCAGGAAATCAGGGACTGTACAGCTTCTCAGACTTTGTCATTTCCAAACCCCGGAACACCCTGAAAATGTAGTGGGACCCCAAAGGCCTTTTGAGGATGATACGGGTCCTAGCTGTAGGTATGTGCCCCATCAGGCATGAAAACTGAGACCACATTTAAGTGTTTGGAGTAATTAAAGCCATGGTTTTAAATAATAAATGGTTTAGCATTAGAAATAGCATTATGTTAATGTCAGTAACATCTATGGTGAGAAATGTGTCTTTTCCCAGGCAGAACCCAGGGGCAGCAGTGGCATGGCTTTCTGGGCCTGCCTGGGAGCAAGAGGCAGGCACCCCTCTGCTTATCTGCTTTTGCACTGCAGCCGGCAGCCCTGTCATGTGCTCCCCACCACACACACCACCACCACCATCACCA